ATTCGGTGCCAAGTCGTGAGTGCCAAATCTTTTCGAGACACATGCCGTTCCGAGCATGTCGAAGAGATTGGCATCGCTTTTCTTCGAACCGTCCTAACGACCGATTCATCGTCCACGGATGTGTCTTCCGACCCCCGTGTGACCCGGTTGTTAGACGAGTTCTCGGATGTTTTTGAGACACCCTCCGGTATAGTGCCGGACCCGCCAATCTCTCATGAGATCATACTTGAGGCCGGTGCCGTGCCACCGAAGGGATGCATTTATCGCATGTCCGAGGAGGAGCTCACGGTTCTCCATGCGAAACTCGACGATCTACTTGACAAGGGTTGGATCCGCCCTAGCAGCTCACCTTACGGTGCGCCCGTTCTCTTCGTTCGGAAGAGGAACAAGGACCTTCGACTTTGCATTGACTACCGACGCCTCAACGCGCAAACCATCAAGAACGCGGGGCCTCTACCTCGCACTGACAATTTGCTTGAGCGGTTGGGCGGCGCCAAGTACTTTTCCAAGTTGGACCTCAAGTCGGGCTACCATCAGATTTGCATCCGCCCGCAAGATCGGTACAAAACCGCGTTTAAGACGCGATATGGGCATTTTGAGTGGGTAGTTATGCCKTTTGGCCTCACCAATGCCCCGACCACCTTTCAGGCGGCCATGACCACCGAGTTTCGCGCTATGTTGGACCGCTGAATCTTGGTCTACTTAGACGACATCCTCGTCTATAGCCGAACTCTAGAGGAGCATCTCGAGCACCTTCGCCGTGTTCTAGAGACTCTTCGGTCAGCCCGGTACAAAGCTAACCGTGACAAATGCGAGTTTGTCCGGCAAGAGCTTGAATACTTGGGTCATTTTGTCTCTCCAGAAGGCATTCGTCCGTTGGCGGACAAGATTCAAGCCATCCAGGAGTGGGCCGAGCCGAAGAATGTGACGGACGTCCGATCCTTCCTCGGCTTGGCCGGTTATTATCAGTGCTTCATCAAGGGTAACTCGAAGATCGCAGCCAACCTAAGCAAGTTACAAAGCGAGGAGCGGCCTTTTGACTTCGACGACGATGTTTGCCATTCTTTTGAAACACTCAAAGCGGCACTCTTGTCCGCCGAGGTGTTACATATTTACGACCCACTTCTAGCTACGCGCGTCACTACCGATGCGTAGGGCTATGGCATTGGGGCCGTCCTTGAGCAGCACGATGGCACGGACTGGCACCCGGTCGAGTACTTTAGCAAGAAAGTACCTCCCGTGCATTCGATCGACAACGCACGAAAGAAGGAGCTTCTTGCCTTCGTCCACGCCCTCAAGCGTTGGCGACATTTCCTCCTTGGTCGGAAAGCATTCCGATGGGTAACGGATAACAATCCGTTGGTATTCTACAAGTCGCAAGACACGATTAACAGTACCATTGCTCGTTGGATGGCTTTCATCGACCAGTTTGACTTTTTCCCCGATCACATTCCCGGGAAGTCAAATCGTTTTGCGGACGCCCTCTCACGGCGACCGGATCTTTGCACCGCAGTCTACTCTACCTTCGAGATCAACGACGACTTGCGGGAGAGCTTCATCCGCGGCTATCAAGCCGACCCCCACTTTCGCGACAAGTACGCGAATTGCTCCTCTCCGAATCCGGTGCCTTCGCATTATGGGATCCAAGAGGGCTACTTGTGCATTCACGGGGTAAGGATCTTCTTTGTGTACCGAGTGATTCACACTTGCACACACGGCTTCTTGGTGAGTTTCACGATGCGCCCGCCTCCAGAAATTTTGGTGTCAACCGTACACTTGGCCGAATTCGCCAACGGTTCTATTGGCCCGACCTTCTCAAGGACGCCACCCACTATTGTGAGTCGTGCGAAGTCTGTCGGCGTTGCAAGTCACGCAACCATCATCCGTTTGGTGAGTTACACCCACTACCAGTTCCCCTTGGGCGACGAGAAGCGATTGCTATGGATATCACCGGCCCCTTCCCGAAGCACAAGACCGGCGTTGATGGGATCCTCACGGTCATCGACTGCCTCATGAAGTACGCATGTTTTTGCCTTGCCGCTATCACGCAAAGGCGCCGGAGTTAGCTGAGGTCTTATACACCGGTTGGATTCGCTCCAAGGACTACCCCAAGGAGATCGTTTGCGACCGGGACACTCGCTTCCTCTCCGACTTTTGGGTCGCCCTCGTCAAGCGATGGGGCTCATCTTTGAAGCTGAGTTCGGCTCGCCACCCGCAAACCGATGGTCAAACGGAAAGGGCGCATCAGACCGCTCAATCCTTCTACGCACTCTCATCCGTCCCGACCAGGTTGATTGGGTTGAGCGCTTGCCAGACGTTGAGTTGGCTTACAACTCATCAATCCATCCGACTATCGGGATGTCGCCATTCGAGTTTGAGCATGGTTCACCCATCTCATCGCCGTTGGACGCCACTTTGCCGCGCACAGCCGAGAGCGACGACCATCTTGCGTTCCTTCGTCACATGCAAGAGCTTCTTGTCAAGGCACGGGATCAGATGTCGAAGACACAAATACGGATGAGCCGTCAAGCCAACCGCCATCGCCTTCCTTGCCCGTTCCGCGCCGGCGATCTGGTTTGGGTCTCCGCCGCGGAGTTCAGCCTTGAGCAAGACATCTCTCGCAATCTCCTTCCTAAGTCGATGAGGCCTTGGCGCATTCTCTCTGCAGTTGGTGATGATCCTGAGGGGCCTTCATTCCGCATCGCGGTGCCACCTCACTTGCCCGTCAACACGGTGTTCCACTGTTCCAAACTCGCTCCTTTTGTCTCAGCGGAGTCCGACGAGTTTCCTGGTCGACGTACCCAAGACCCTCCTTCCATGGACGGATTTCAGGAGGCCGGCTACATCATCACTGACCAGCGCCATGGCAACAAAGAAACAGAGTTTCTACTTCACTTTTCCTACTGCAGCCACAAGGCTGACCGTTGGCTGACGCGTTCAGAACTGCAGGCCACATCTCCTGCCGTTCTCTCACGTTATCTTAGCAAAGGGAAGACCACGCCGAGCACTCCAGCTCCTCGCCTTCCTCGCTACATTCCGCCATCGGATCGACAGCTTCCCCCGCGCCCCGGCTCGTCTTCATAAGGAGGSGGGCGTGTTACATGCTGAAAGCCTACACAAGGGCCCCTCACGGGACCCGAGGTTGGAATAGGGCCCCCAGGTCGCGTCACCGCAACCTGAAGGCCCTATGGCATTTTTACTTGGGCCTGCATCAGAAAAACGCCAGCTTTAGATTATTTTTATATTCTTTTATTTATTTATTTGCTGYTGTTTTTCTAACKGTTGTACTGTTGTCCGTTTTGTGGCCAGGTACACGTTTTAGGASCACGGCCAGATTCAGGCCCAGAGGCTGAGCTCCTAAAAACGTTTGGACCTTTTCTTTTGTTTTCGAACAGATTGCTACCTGTTCGGACCCAGGCCGACGTTGAGGCCGGGTAC